TCTAATATTTTTGTTGAGCACAAAATTTATTGCAAATAAAGTATTGGCATGACTTGCCGAAAAGGTTAAAAAAAAAATAAATAATTTTGATCAAAATTAGTAACAACTTCTTAGTAACTAAAAATTAAGAGTTTGAATTACATACTAAAGTTTTTACAAAAAAAAATATTGCTATAATAGATTATATTTAAGTATTAAAAAGTAGCTAAATAAATTTAGAAAAGTTAAAAAAAAATATTTTGTTATAGATTATATAGTAATTTGTTTTATAGCTTATAATAGTTTATTCTTAATAAATAGACAAACAAGATTACTTAAATTTAATAAATTTAAAAAAAAATAATTTTTAATTATTTTAAAATTAGAATAAGATCTAGAATTTTATTAGTTGAACTATAGTATAAATGAGCAAATATAATTATTATAAAATTATAATATAAATAACTAATTATTTTAACTAATTTAAATTTAATTATAGTTAGAGTTAGAGTTAGAATTAGAGTTAGAATTCAATTTATAGTTTAAACTAGCTTAAAAACAATAGTTTTTATATTATTATTTTATAATAGGATATTGTTAAATATCATAGGTTGCTATATTGCAAGTTAATATAATTGACTAATTATATTATAAGATCTTGTATAACAAAAATGAGTAAAAAATTAAAAAAAAGGTTTGATGATCTTAGTGTAGTAGATAGGTTGCCAGATCACTATGCAAGAGATCTAGAGTTCAAATCTTACTGTCAATGAATTTGAATAATTACTCAGACCTTTGTATCTAACTTATAGTAAACTCTGTTCGTTTCTAGAGTTGTAATCCTATAAATCATATTGTACTAATATCATCCAGATATTAGAAGTATGACAAAGTGTTTAGCAAAACATAACATTATATGAATAAATTTTAATAAGATCTATGAGCAAAGAACCTGCATAGTAAAAATTCTGAGTTAATAAAATAGTACAACTTTCAATAGTCATACCAGCTAATGCTTGATTTAGAAAAGAAACTATTGTCAAAAGATATAAATCAAGTCAAATACATATAAATTTATTCTACATAAAGAATTAGTAATACTAACTTAGCTTGGCAGCTAACTAGATTAAGAGGATCTGCTTCATAAAATATCTGAAAAGACAGAATACAGAAAACTAGTAGAGAGCTATGATAGGAACTAAGATTGTATGAACATCTATAAGAATCTAAACTAGATGAATTTATAAAATAGGTACAGACTACTCTAGTAGGTATGCTTCAAGGTTAACTAGCTCTGTGATCCTATAATACATTAGGTATAATATATCTTGAGAGGATCTAAGCTGTTCTGAATAAATAGATCCATAACAAGCTAGCTAGCTTAAGCATTAGATATTGTAATAATGTTGAGTTAGATCTGTATGAATTAATGAACAAAATGTTTAAATAGATAACTCACAAACAAATTACAAGTATAGCAATATAGTATAAAACTAATTAGATAGTTTAATGAGTCAACTAAGGTAGCCTCCCCAAAGTCTGAATTATAGTGCAGCCACAACCACAGCTCATAATCTACTAATGATATTGTGTTGTACAGCAATAATCGATATGTATTAATTTTAAACATAATTTTAAATGTCAAACCTCTCAATAAACACCTTATACGTACTACCAAAGAAGATTACATATGCCTATCGCTATTTAATTTCAAATAAATTTATTTTGTTTTTACTGTAAAATTTTAAGATCTAAGTATTAAATTATATTTTTTACTTTAATTGTTAAGCATAGAACAAATTGGATGCAGATTGAATAAGTAAAAAACCTGGTGATAAATTTTTACAATTCTACTTTGGAACTCAAAAAAGTATAGATTAACAAATAAAAAAATATAATCAAAGTTGTTAATATAATAAATAAGATAAGCTTCTAGTTTTTCTTTGCATTATTTTACTCATTATTACTATTATTTGTGTTATTCTCTGGGTTTTCTGAATAAGACAAATACATAAGATAAGGCTTTCTTGTATTTTTTGAGGCCCAAGTCAGTTGTCTGTGTCTTCATTATTTTGCAGCTTGAATATCTTCTTCTATCATCATCATACAGCTCTATTTGATCATAGCACTAACCTGTAACCAATTATTGGAAGCTCTTTCTGAACAGATCTGTTTGAATACCTGTGTAAATAACTCCTAATTTAACTCGACATAAGAATGAGCCTCTTCATATAGATCTTCATCTATATTAATATTATAATTATCAGAAGGGTTATCAACATCGTGATCTTCAACAACTTGGAAAATGACTTGTGCTTCTGATAATGCAATATTACTATTCTCAAGGCCCTTTAAAACAAGAAATAGTGGCACTGTATGATGTTCAAATTCATCTCTAATTAAATATCGTCTCTTCCCTTCAGTAGTATTCACAACCTGCCTTACCAAATATTTGCATAACAAAAAATAATTTTTAACAAACGTGAAATAGCTACAGACCTAACGAGTAATCTCAGTGAAATATAGACTACTCACGTTTGTTGTTTTTATGTCAATACTTCATTTTCTTTTACCTGGAGATAGATACAGTTTAGCTATGTTAGTTTGGTTTAAAAAATTATGATTTGAAATTTTAAACTAACTAACTAATTTCAAATCAAAAACTAATAGTTTAAACTATAGTTTTTATATTAGTTTGGTTTAATACTAACATTGTAACATTTTAATTATATAACCATAATTGGTAGTTTAGTTTAGTTTAAACCACGATTTTCTGGTTTAAACCAAACTGTGTTAATCTTTATACTCACGATTATTATGTTTATTTTGTTTATTAGCACGAATCTTTTTCTGTTTTTCATTATCTGCACCAGCATATATCCACTCTTTTTTAAAGTCTACCTACCAGTATGGTTCTACAGTACTAGCTAAAATTTGAGAAAACCTGTCTTTCTGATCTAGAACTACTTCAGTAATGAGCATCCACACTAAGAGATCCAACCTTAGCTGGTTAAAACGTCAAAAGTAATGTTTTTTAATTACACTCCAATAAGCTTCTACTTTCATTGTTGTTTTTTTGTAAGGTATAGTTGGTTTAGTTGATCATGCCTAAAGATACTATCTTTGTGATAAATACTAATTGGTCTATAAGTAGGCCCAAAGCAATCTTAGTTTATTTTTATCACAGAACTGATACATTTCTCTTACTGCGCTTTCTCTAATAGCTGCTGGAGTCATTGTATTTCCTTGGATGTTAACTGGTATCAATAGATGCATGTTTAGATAGTATTTCATTATTTCTAAAATTTTTTCTCAATGCGATAGTGGACAGACAACAGATGTTTGTGAATTACAGTCTAATTCTGATAGGTAAAAGTTAAGATTAATAAATTCAAACTCGTTGAATACTTCATTAGGATTATAATTTACAGGTATAAATTTATTTTTTTTTTGATGATTTGGGTTTTTTTTCAAGTTTGCGCTTTACGGTCCTATTTATAAGAATACAGTATATAATTTATAATAATAATTAATATATAAAAATAAAAATTTATTAAAAAATAAAAAAAATAAAATAAAATAAAATCAATTAAAAAGTAAAAAAATAAAAAAAAAATAATAAATAAAAAAATAAATATATAATGAAAAAAAATAAAATCGAATAAAAAATAGAAAAGATAATAAAAACTATAAAAAATATATGTATGTAAAAATTAAAAAATAAATAAAAAATAAATAAAAAAAGTAAAATCGAATAAAAAAAAAAAAATTAATTAATTTAAAATATTAAATATAATAACTTTTTCTATAATGAACTAGCATTTTTAGAAGAAAATAAGGTTGTTATAGAAAATTCATTATGTACATAACAAACTGTAAACTTATTATATTTTTTTAATTTTTTTTTAGGTACCTGTTCATATGCCATTCGCATAACTGAACTACTAAAGCACTCTACACATTGGATATAGCATTTATTTTAGCAAAGTCTTTGTTAGTAAATGCAAAAAGTGGATGAATATTATATGATTTTATATGCTCTAAGAAACTTTCTAATATTTGGCTACACTTTTCTGTACTAGTGCTTGAATTTACTGATTTTGTTGTATCCATAAAAATATAGGCAATCAGAAATCCTGCACCTTTAATATAGACAATAATGCTATAAAGTTCATATCTCCCACATGCAGTTTTATAAGTAATATCTATATAGGCTTCAGTAACTTTAATATTTTGATCATTAATATTTTTTAACAAAGGTGTTGTAAAAGCGATGGATGTAGACTCTATATCTTGTATTTCTAAAAACTTATAAAAATCTTGACTTTCATACTCCTTAAGCAGTTTACAACTAGATAAAAATAGATCATCATAACGTTGATATTGATATTTATTTGCTATAGATTTCCAATAATATATTCGCTTATGCAAATATTTTGAAATATCAAATTCTTGACGATGTAAATGATTTGTTAGCTCAATTGTAGTAAGATACATATATTTTCTGATCTCTTCTAGTATTTTACTTAACATTTTAACACAGTGGTCTGGCTGTAGATGAAGACAATTATGATAGATATTAACCTTTGCAATACTAAGAACTGTATCTACTCGTATCATAACTTTTCCTCTACAATCAAAGCATGTATACTGTTTGCAATTCGAATCTTTATATTTTTCACTCTGCACCTCTCTAGATTGACAACACAAATACGTGAACCTACCAACTGATTCTCTAAATTTTTTTGATATATCTACTTCTTGATATTGTTACAAGCGGTTTTTTATTAATCTGCAAATTTTTAGATAGCATAAGGTTTTTCATAGTTATTATTCAAGGCACTAGTTTATTTATCAGTAAACAAACAAAACCAAAATCAATAAAATCAAAAATAAAAGAAA